AATAGTCTTCTTGAACTTGTGGTTCTTCCTCTTCTTAGTGTACCTCAATACCCTCACTTCCCTATCAACTATTGATATCTATAATGTTTGATTCTCACTCCCCATCATCATCTTTACTATAACTGTTCGATACCACATACCCATCTGGAACCATCCTGACTTTCGTGGCAAAAGATGATACCCAAACTCTTTCGTGTTAGCTAAAATCAAGGCTACAATGTAATGAATTGAAACTATAGGTGAAATTCTTATACCTAGTCAATTCCATGTTGTAGTAATAGTTGTTGAGGGATGGAATCTATGCACTCTTGCTCTATTCTAGCATAACATTGTCGATGTAAGTACTGTTATGCTCTTAAGCTTCCTACTTTGAATCCACCAACTTAAAATCCAAATCCAAGCAAGGCTCTTTTTTGATAAACAAGTACTCACTATTTAGATATGGGCTCTCCACGAGCTTTAGATTGCAAGGCTTTGGCAACAACCAAAGTTATTTCCACCCCTTCCCTGTAAACATTAGTATCTTCTTCAACATTAGAGAAGTAATGATTGTTGAGGAAGCTGAGTGAGTTAGATATATGCCATGTAAAACTCAATTCATACAAGCGGTAGGAGCCAATTCAAGAAAAAATAAAACTCAAAAAGTAAAAACTAATATTCATAAAAAGGAAAACAAGAAATACCAAAAATTTTCTTCTTAAAAGTTGTCCTATTTTAAAATTTCTATACTAACTATGACAAATTGCAATGATTTACATTTGAAATATATCCAAATTAAATTATGATATTTTATTTTTTAATTCTTTAATCATATTCTGTTAACGGTCTTTTATTCATAGAGGTAAATTTTTATAAGTTTATAATCCAAATTTATATTCTTGTCACAAGTTTATTTAAACTTGTGAGTTTAACAGATTCATCTTGGGCGCTCATCATCCTAATGATCGCCATGGTATTCATTAGGGTGATGAGATCTAGACATCCAGATTTTAATCTCAATGGTCTAGATTTAATGGATTATTTTATATTTATTAAAATAAAAATTAGTAAAAATTATAATAAATCTTTTTATCATCAATTGGGTCTAAATTTGATTTAAAGAGTCTAATTTAATATTAAAATTTTTGTATATTGATTGTTCAGATGTACTCTGGATAGTTTAAATTTAAAAATTTTAACTTGTAATTTTTTAAAAAAATATTTTATATTTTTATTAAATTTAGACTATGCATATTACATTTGAGTAATCAAAATATAAAAATTTAGTTGGTAAAAAAATCAAAATATAAAAATTGAAATATTAAATTAGACTATGTAGAGTACATATGGGAAATTAATATATAAAAAATTTTAATATTAAATTAAACCTTTCTAATTAAATCTAGACCAAATTGATGATAAAAATATTTATTAAAATTTTTTATAATTTTTATAAGTTTTATAAATTTTATATTTGAATAAATATAAAATAAAATTTTCAAATAATACATTAAATTTGGACCATTCAAATCTCATAACCCTAAATGAATCTTTGTTTTTTGGATATAGAAGTGCATTTTTTTGGAATTGGCATTCCAAATTTAGACTAGTTTGTTTATCTCAATAGTTGCATGTAAAAGATATCTGTTTTTCAAATAAATATTTCATTTTTTTTATATTAACAATTTGAAGATGAGGATTAATAAAATATATTTTCATCTATTTATTAAATATATTATTTTTAATTCTAGGATTGGACACCATATAAAAGATCTTTTAAAAGTGCACATTCTCCTGGGGTGTAGATTGGGGCATGGACATAAAGGTCTTTAAGACACAATCAATAATTCAATGCTTTAGCTTTTTTAGAACTTATTACTTTACTATATCTGGTTATCTTATCCATCTCTCCCTAAAAATAGATATCTCTAGAAAAAATTTTAAATTCAATCCTTGTTTTTTCTTCTCTACTCGAATGAAAAATTTTTAAAAATAGGTTCTTTGAGTGATGAACAAATATATTTGCATTCATTAATATAAAGATACAAACATCCATGTAAAATATAGTCAACCCCTCCCTCTGTAGATGCTAAGAATTTAGAATCAATGAAATCTCATCCCTTTCTCTTGCTTGCTTCTATTAGGGAAAAAAATTATCAAGTTTCAGATCAACAAAATGGAATAAACTATTGGGTGATGAGCTCCCAAGATGAACCCGAGTTTAACAACCATGCTCTCGATAATGGATTATATCTACTCCTTTCGTTCAAAAATATAAGACATTTTTTGAAGGATCAGATGTTAAAAAAATATAAGGTATTTTTAATTTTTTAAAGTGTAATCATTGCACTTTTTTCAAAAATATCCTTATTAAATAAATCACTTTAGCTTTATTATACGGTGAAACACGCTTTTAAATAGAGGTAAATATGAAAAAATATAGTTTGTTTGAAAATAAGTAATTGCTTTATTAGGAAAGAAATTCGGTTCAAAATACCTTATATTTTTTAATGGAAGGAGCATGTATCAAATTCCCTCTTGTCTTTTTTATCAGAGACTTTTAGAGTGTATTCTTTGTTCTTTTTTATAAAAGGTTTTATGTATTTTTGGAAGTATTAACTATCTGTTTTTTTTTTCAAATACCCTTAATTATTTAGAAAGAAGCAGCAGTACAGTACACTAATATGAGAAAAATTATTAAAAATGCGAAAATATTTAATCAAAGTAACTAATTTTAATTTTAAATAATTTTATTAATTTGTGTCAAAGTTTTTAAACATCTCTTAGTAAAATGCATTCAGGGTGGTACTACTATTTATAACGTACTTTTAAACATTTCTAATTAATGAAATATGATAATTATAAAAAACTATAATAATTCCATTATTTATAATTCAAGACAGATAAATTCAAATTGTAATGTATCGTTGATGAATTACATATAGTAAGAATAAGAGAGTTAAACTTCATAAGATGGGACCCACAATAATTTTCATAGAAAAATCATCAAATGAGATTAAATATATTGAGTGCCAAACACTACTAATAATAATGTCAAGATTAAATGGAATCGATGATATTCAAATCGGACACTTGTATCATGCGCGAGATAATATTAATGACGAATTAATGCTTCCAAAATGGGCAGCAATAAAACCAACTCGAGTAAAATATGCAATGATTGTACGGAATCGCATCATCAAGTGCATTAATAAATCTTTGGTTGTAATTTCTCTCTTAAGTATAATAAACTTTTATATTTTTAAGAAAAAATTAAAATGAATCTGATTTCATGGGTTGCATCCCTATCTTTTGAGTTTTGATCTTATCTTCTTGGTTTCTACCATGATGAAGGGAAGGCATGAAGCTAGCACACGTTGTATCTGGTCTATACCGGAATTTTCTGCAACCTTATTTCATATTTCCACTACTTTATCAAAAAATATTTCCATCATGCATGTTCACACATCACCCTTTCAGTCAGAGAGAAAATAATTTTTTTATCATAAATTTTTTCTTTTACTTCAATTAAATGTTAGTGAGAAAAATATTAAAAATATGTACATTTAATATGAATAAAATTAAAAGCTTATTAATTTCTAAAACAGATATAATGAATTTTAAGACTTTCTTTAATTTTAAAAAATATGTTGAAAATTAATGGAATTGGGTCTGATGAAATAGGCTAAAGTCTCATAACTTAGTGAAACAAGATTTCAAATCTTACTAAAAGAGATATTTATACTTAATACTTGATCATGTCTTGAATACGATTATTTTTTATAAAAGAATATCTATAAACAATCAAAAAATAAAATATGTTGAAAGTATTCCTTTAGTTCTCAAATATAAAAAAATTTTAATTGATTTACACAATTTAATAAAATCTATTAATCTCAATAATTATATCTAAAATTAAAAAATTTGGATTAGAATGTCCTTGTGACTAATGAGACAAGTTTTTTTTTGTGGAAATAAAATTTAACTTTTTGAGGGGCAATTTGAAAAAAAAATTAATAAATGTTTCTTGAATTTTATATTTTCTCTTATACTAAAAACAATAAAATGTATTGTAGTTTATCTTATAATAAAAAAACAGATGGAGCATAAACCAAACTTTCATGTGGTTTTTCTGTTTTTTTTTTTTCATATAAGCAAAACAATTTTCAAGAAGTATTTATCAGATCGTTCTTTAACTGTTGTTCATTAAATTATATTATCATTAAATTAAAGGGAAAATACAGGATTTATTACAAGGACGTTTTAGTTTAAACTTTTTAATTTTAGACATAATTATTAGATAGGATTAATTTTTTTAAACCGTGCGAGTTGATTTGAAAAAACAGGTAAAAAAAAAACTGCATAAATTAATTAAAATTTAGTTATATTTAAACAGAGAGAATAAGTAATAGGATGTAGACATGCCAAATGTAGTACTTGTTTGAATTTTAATTTACATTTGATAAAAATATAAAAGGAAGATTCAATTATTTATTGAATTTGACAAAAACATATTTTAAAAGTAATTTAAATGTATTTTTAAAGGTGATCCAAATAGACTTATAGTAACTATTTTGGTCTTTTAATTTATCATTTTCAGTCCTTTTTTAAAAGACACTTCAGCTCTTTAACTTTAACTTATTTATATCCATTCCTCAATTAGTCTCATAAAAAATTTGATAAATAATCTTTAACAATAAATCCCAACAAATGATAAATGTCCCAACTCTCAATCACTCATTAATTCATTCCTCATCATTATTTTTTTAATTTATTTTTATTATTTATGTTTTCATTAAATCATTCATTTCATCTATTTTTCTTAAACTATTAATTATTTAAATTAATAAAAGTATAATTTCTAGGTGAGTTCGACACCTGAAATACTTCGAGTAATTTATTATTGCAATCTCATACACTTGTGAGAGTGATCATATATCTTAATTTTTTTTAAAAAAAAAACATGAACTTAATTTTTAAATGGAAAACCTATATAGTTCGAGCATAAGAGAGAAGCTTAATAATTCAAACTATGTAAGACTATTTTTTCCTTTACTTATAAAGCGAGGGAGGGAGGGAGAGATGCATAGCCCAACTCCAACTTCACTGCCCCACCCATTGGAAGAAGGAAAGGTCACAAGCCCAAATCGAACTGATTCGGCCCATTCTCACAAACCCAAATACATAAAATTTCTGGTCCCGCACTAGGAACTAGGAATTCATTTAATTAGGGACAAAATCAGTAAGTCACAGGAGTGAAACTAGTAACACTAAGTTGCAGGTTGCAGCTAACTCAAAAACACCAACAAGAACATCACTTTTTGGCACGGGCTGGATGATGGCATACCTGGTACCTATCTTCAAACTTAAAATCATGAAGATCCTCATATTGGCATTATAACAGAGAAATCAGTAGTGAGGCAAAATTGAACTTACAATGTTACAGGGGGATTTCAATGTTTCCCTCGCGGCACGCTGGGACCAAACTGGGATGTCTTGGTATGTTTTTTCTTGTATTTCCAGAACTCATCTTTCTTCTTTTTATCTTTAACCATGCCCATCTTACTGTTAATAATCCCCAGTATAGCACTCCTATCCTTCCTGTTTTTAGTGGCAACTTTTACATCCAGAATCGCCCTAAGCTTCTTGTAAGAGATGGGATCCGGGACTTGTCCACTTTTGACCATCTTCTTGTGATAGAAAAATGCCCTTTTAAAATCTCTTACGCGAACATAGGCATATATCATTGTTGAATAAGTTACTGAATCGGGTTTTAGATTCAGAACTGCCATCTCTTTCAACAACTGTGGCAACTTTGAGTGTTGCCCTCCTCTTGCATAGGCGTTCATCAGCATATTATATGTCATCACTGTTGGGTGCAGTCCAATCTTACCAAATTCAGATATTACGTCCCTTGCTTCGACGTAGTGGCCTTGTTTAGCAAATCCATCAAGAAGAGTATTAAATGTAACCCGCGTTCCTTCAATTTTGTCACTGATCATCAACTTCCATATTTTCATCAATGTTTGGGTATCCCCGGCCCGCCTATATGCATCAAGGAGAGCAGTGTAGGTTTCTATGGAGGGTTTGAGGCCCTCTTTTTGCATGTTTTCAAACGCCATGTAAGCTTTCTCATGCCAACCGCTTACTGAATAAGCATGAATTAGAGCTGTGTAAGAATGTGAAGTGGGTTTTATACCAGCTTTCTTCATCTTCAAGAATGCATCAGCAGCCACGTCACTCATTTTCTTCTGCTTCCCATATGCATTGATTAGGCAAGTATATGATTTGGCATCTGGATTCAGGCCAGCATCCTCCATTTCTGCCATCAGCTTCTCCACAACCTGAGGCTGCATTCTTCTACTGTATGCATACATTAAAATGTTAAATGTAGCTGCAGTGGGCTTAATCCCTTTAGCTTTCATCTCAACAAAAAGACCTTCAGCTTCCTCTATGTAGTTGGATTTAATAAATGCATCCATCAGCGTGTTGTACACAATTGCATTTGAAGAGACTCCTTTTGTTTCCATTTCTGATTGGATGATCAGAGCTTCCTTAATCAATCTCTCATCACAAAATGATTTGATTAATGCACCAAAGACTTCCTCGCTCCATCTGACTCCTTTTCTGTTCATTTTCTCAAAAAATTGCCACGCATCCTTTGCACTATGGCCAAGTTTTCTAATTATTGTAATCACAATAGAGCATGTCACGTGATCTGGACGTATATTATCATGTTCCATTGACTCATACAGCTTCCAGGCATCTTCATACCTAGGATAGCGAGGCAAGCATCAATAAAAAGTCTTGAGATATGAAGATTTGAAAGGAAATGCTACCCAAGTCATATTTTAAAATATCAAGTTCCAAGAAACGAATTGAATGCAATAATTCAAATTATTTTCTCTAAAATTGCACATTGCTTGAAGTTTGGAAGCGGCACTGGATCCTTACACAGATGAGATTATCTGCAATATCTTAATTCTACAACAAGAAATTGCACGAGATAGTTAAGAGAGAGAAATTAACACAAATATCAGGAAAGGTTCCACAATCTATCTACAGACATGATGACCCACCACAAAATGCACCAAAACGAAATGCGTAGAAAAGTTAACTTCTAGACAAGTAGAACACGTAAAAGCTCCAAGAATTTCATACCTCCCACTATATAAAAGACCTGAAGTAGCAGCATTATAAACACGAACATCTCTGAACTCCTTGCTGGACGGTAAGTTTCTGAAGAGAACCATCAACTTATCACCCATGCCTGCTCTTCCTAACACTGGAAACAACACACTACATGCCCGAGGCGTAACAAGCGATGGTTCCTGCAATCTCATCCACTCGAAGAAATACATACAGTCAAATAGACGACCTTCCTCCCCAAGAAATCCCAACACCTCGAGGCACTTTGTCTTATCAACGCGTCCCTCGTAAACGTTCAAAACCTCCCCTAATGTCAGATTTTCCGGCAAGTTTCTTGCAATTTGAACAATCTCCCCAACCACACCCCCAGGCGATTCCTTCCTCTCCAGTAACTCCTCCTGTTCCTCAACAAACGAGTAGTCGGGATTCAAATCAATTTCAGTTTCTTCAACAGACTCGGCATCCGAAGCAAGATGCCATGAAACGCGACGGTTCTTCTGGAGGGTTAATTTTCCTTCGTGTTGAGGGTCTTGGTCAGAGGTTGAAGCGCGAGACTTGAAGAATCTGTAAATAGGATCATCTGGGTCCTCTACTTGTTCTCGCATTGCCACTGCGTCTATTTCCTCCTCCTCCTCCTCATCCCTTTGTTCTTCTTCGAGTAACGGAAGAAAAATGGGGCCTGAAGAATGAGGAGCACAAAGCGAGAGCAAGTTTGGGGTTTTATAGCACAAAAACAGGGAGGGTTTTGAAAATTTGTGAGGTGAATTAAAACGGCGAACGAAGATGCGGGAAGGTAGGAATTGGTGATGGATGAGAGCCATGGCTCTACACAGATTATCTTCCCATTTGATTTTTGGAGTTGAGCGTTCTTGTTAAGTCCATTTGCGGTTATTTAAATTATTATTTTAGGCAAGTTTTAGTTGGGGAAAAAAATATTTGAGTGGATTTTCTTTAATCTTTAGCCGTTTATTATACATACATCCACATTTTATAGTACTAACAGACATGGTGAAATTTTTTCGACCGAAAACAAAAAAAGAAAATACATGGTGAAATTTGATCAGTCAGAGAACTTATCCAAAAGATTTTTTACCAGAGATTTTTTTTAATTTAAAAATTACTTTTTTCTCTTCCTTTTTTTTTTCCAAATATAGAAGGCAAGCTGACGTTTGAAAAGAAGGAAATCATACAAAACTAACCACCACATAAACTCTTTCCCCGATCAACTTTTCTCTCGATTTATGCTTGTCATCTAGCGTAGCAGATGGCCATGCTGATTTAATATAAAATTAGTATCATCAATTAATAATTTTTTTCTACAAAAAAAAAACTGAATTCAAACGGATCTTATCAAAATTAAAAATTAAAAAATAAATGGTATACCACTGTGATGAAAATTTTTTTTTTTTGGACAACAAAAAAGATACGATAATAAATTAACAAAGATTATAACGTTTCTTTTTTAACAATCATTTTCAAGAGACCTTGTATAGTAAGAGATTTTGTCAACATAAATCAATTCACATAACAAAGAGTCATTATTATTGGCCGTAAAGTCCAACGGTTTAGCTTACGCTTTTCTCCATAATGTTTTCATTCTGGCAATGGTCCTTGATCCTTGTTGATCATGACCAATAACAAAATAGTTTCGCATAAATCCAGCAGCAGGATCAGCCAGTTCATCTGATGCCTGAGTTTCGCATTAATGTCAAATAGTTTCGAGAAACAACATGTGCAAACTACTCCAACTTGGAGGACCGGAAAAAAAAAAAAAAAAACTGCAGATGAAAACAAGGGCATCATTGAAGGGGGAACCTGTTTTCATATAAACTTCCAGTACCTGGGAAAACATCAAGAGGAATGGATTAACATACCAAAGCAAGAGGTGGGCACTTCAGATGCTTGATGAGGTACTATTGTTTATGGTCCACTCCTATGACATTGAATAACCACAAGTGTCCAGACGGAAAATATCTGAAGCAGCTTTCCAGGTCTCCAATTGGGGATATCTTGCTTTCTTCAGGCTGAGGTGGATAAGGGTTTGCCTACATCCTTGACGTATCAAAGTGAATCCCACAAAATCCGACTCGATATGAGAGCAATACATTTTACTAAAGATGCAGAAACTGAATTATGGAACATCACTAACTCAAAATTGAGGCATCTAATTTACTCTATTCCCAATCACATTTAACTTAACTATCTGAAATGTTAATCGTCTGCTGCAAAATAAATATTACAGATGAGGAATTAGTTCTCATGAATATCTGTCAAACCATGTTGGGCCTCTGCGGCAGCAGTAGATTATAGAACTTATCATGCAAGAAGAAACTCTTTCCCTTGTTATCTACAGCTTTTTTCCACCCACACCAGCCCGCGTTCACTATTTTCTTCAGATCATCCGTGCCTGTGTAGTGTGGATCAAGAATTAAAAAAGCGCAGTCTCCACTTGCTTCATTGTAATCCACTCCCAACAGTGTATAAGCAAGTACACCGCCACCTGCATTTTAAATTCAAGTGCTGAGAAAGACATATCTTTTGTTCCTCCCCCCTTCCAAAAATTTTCCGGGAGCAGCTGAGGCAAATAATTACTTTTGTAGTGATCATAACCAGAAAACGTGATTAATGATACCTCAAGTCTCCCCACATCAAAAGTAACATATACATAGATGGCGGATGAAACACAGAGTACATCGTCTACTAACCAATCATAACAGGAGTTCCTTGGGTCTCAAAGTGCAATGCCAACTCCCGACATTTTTCTGGAAGCTCGGCTCCAGATCTAACATTGATTACTTTGCAAGTAACCTGATAAAGAGAGAGCCCAGGCAAACCACAAAGAATACATTGTTCATTATGTAATCTAAAATAATGAGCAAACCTTTTTCCATGCTACAGGTCAAAGCATTCTCATATAACCACTGGAAATTTTCTGATGCATATACTTTTTATGAAATAGATCAATGTTTATGCACCCTGTTTTGCATTAAAGAGTACATCTAAATTCTAGGTGGAGGCAATGTCCAATTGAGCCAACCCCAAGAACCCAACCTCATCCGTGTGACTATAATATTGTAACACTACAGCTCAAATTTTACAAGCAGTTGAAACAATGGTATACTTACACCCAGAAGTTTCTCTAAAACAAAGCTCAACTCAATGGCACCAATCCATTCTCTTGAACCAATAAAAGAGGGATCCTTATCACCAATCTCAACAAGTGACTGCTGTATTTCCCTGAAAAGTCGTAGATCAGGCTGATAGAACTGATAAAGTTACAAAAACATATAGGAGGAAATCAAGGGGAACAAAAGGGGTGGAAGAACAAAACTCTGCTGGATCATGCATTGGTCCTACGGATCCTGAGTGCAAGGGAAAGTAAGTACTGTTGTAATGATGTTTTTGGGGCTGCCTAGGGGTTTAGCCTATGTTGGGAGTGGTGCATGTTATTTTTTTGGGTTTTATTAGTCTCTCTGCTGGTAAGGAGGGGTATTATGGATTATTTTGCATTGTGAGTGTGGTTAGGAGAGTCTGGCCTCTCGAATGCCAATGGTTCAGCGTTAGTGTTTCTCTGTGAATCAGTTCTTGAGTTGTCTGTTTTGATTTCAGTTTGGTTGTAACGGGAATAGGGTTTTGCCAGAATCAGTGGGCTCATATAACACTAATTCGGTTCATTTTGATTTATAATAGAAAAACATCAGCATTTCCCCTCATTTATTTCTTCTGCTGTCTCTTTTCTGGCTTTATTTACTGTTATATCGGCAGGGTTCTATCACAGGCTTAATGACACGTGATTATATAAAGCCATTAGTTGACAAGTAAACATTGAACAAGAATGACCACACTGTTTAGTTTGAATTAGAAACTATGAAGTATTTGAATAATCAATTGCACACAGAACCAGAACACAACAGAGCCTCAAGCTCAAGGAATAAAGAGCCAACAACTGAAAATAAGATAAACTTGAGAAATATCACAAGAAATTATCACATTCCACACCACCACCATTCCAAAAACAAAATAAAATCATTAGAGGTAAATACCTATGAGAAGGCACATCTATAGATGTGTAATTCTGTAGTCTGAACCAAGAGATAATAGTCTGTAGAGAGCGATAAGCACAACCCCAACCCTACAAAGTTGAGTGATTAATTTTGTGACAATGATGATCTTGCAATCATTTATCCAAGCAGTAATATGTGATATCCCTATTGGGACTTGGGAGCATACAAAGCTGACTATCTAAAATATCTCAACAATGACTAATGGAGTGTGTGCTTTGCATAAATACCTACCAGAGATAAACATGTAATTTTGACATGCTAAAATCATTAGAATGCAGCAGGGTCGAAATTACCGAATCATTAAAACCATCCTGAAGATAATGGTGGTATTCATAGGAACCTTGTACAAGGGAAACAATCCCTCCAGCAACTGCATAAAAAATCACAAAATCACAAGGCAAGGAATAATTATATTAATATAGAAAACAGGCAACTTACCTCCACCGCTAGGTATTCCAATATGTACATCCCTGAGCAATGTAGAACCTGATGTTGCCCCCAAAAGAAATGCCAAGGTTTATGCATGGTTAATGAAATAAGTGATGCTATGATTAAAAAACTTAACTGGAAAGCAGCAGATGCAGCCATAATTAACATCACCTAGAGCATAAAGAAGTTTTTATTTGCACATTATTATTACCCTTCAGCAGGGACTCACTCCCACTGCTTTTCAATCTTGAAAAATCCAAGGCATTAGCAATTCTTAGAAGGGGCCGATCATAAGGCAATCCTAGCCTTGAGTGTAAGGATCTTCTAACTTCAACTTCAGAAAGCAAAAATGAATTCACAAATCAGTATCATTCACACATATCAGAAATGGAAGAAAAGGAAGCAAAAGCAAAAGCATTTAAACAGATATATATTCCTCTCTGCAAACCTCCATGCCAAACACAGCATACTCCTTATTCAGTTATTTTCCAATCAAGATAATGAATAGTATAACAATGCAAGAAACTTCGATGTCTGGAATTAGAAAGTGCAACAGCATACCTTGCTTTAATTCTGTCTCCCCAAAACTTAGTTCATAGAAAACAGTAATTGGATGCAAAACCCCAGGAGGGTCAAAGTGATAAGGAAGTAGCTGCAAATAAAATAAGTTGCTAATTAAATTTGCTAATTAATCAGAAGAATAATAGTTTGTAAGCATGCTGTGAGTGAGGTAAAAAACTAATATGAAAAAAATGAAACAAAATAGATCTCGAGAACAAAACAAAGCAAAGGTTAGGTAGAAAAGAATAAATAAATTATTGAAAGACCCAGTTGCTGTACGTTAAAAACTGACCCAATATCCTTTATTTATACTCATTCTACTCCAACCTCACAACTATACCTCACACTTTGGGTGCACTACAACTACAAGAAGTTGGACATCTGTTAACAGGGTAACTCTTTTTTGACCTACAAGACTTGTCTAACTTCTATAGACACTTCTTATAATTAAAAAAGCACAAAAAATAGATATCAGCAGGAAACAGTATTCACTAAAACGAAGATCTTTTCTCTTTCACCTCACTAACTGAAATAGATCACACTAACATTCTGTTGGAAGTGGGCTTGCTGTCTCTTGAGCCTATTAGAAAAGTCTGCCCTAGTTACCTAATATAATCTGGTTATTAGAATATTTGCTATTTATTTCTATATCCCCAAATATATGGGATTTTTCCTGCTTTAGTTTTTTGCCTGATACGATCAGATTTGATCATTCCTGTAGAATCTATATATGTACCATATTTTGAGTGAATAAACCACAAAATACAAACACAAATAATTTCATGGTATCACAGCTTTCAATGGTGTGATGGACT